AGGCGTTGGCAGACTTCACCCTCCTCTCTCCAGCGCACGAAGGGACCTGGCCGCTCACAGCACGGGCCCCTCACCTCGTCAAGACGCAGGACCCATCCTGCTGCAGCCTCAGACCAGGGATTAATGCTGCTGTAAGTGAGGAGCCGCTCTGTGCAGCCACTGCCACCCGCCTATTCCAGAGTTCAGCACCCACCATCCTGTGACCTCGGTGACAAACACAGTCCAGGGAGCCATCCTGCTGAGCCACTGCCTCTCTGGGGACAGCGAGGGCTGGTGTGGATGCTCGTGCCATCTCCACAGCGCAAGAGTCTCCCAGCAGAGCCGGCAACGGTGAGACCTGGAGGTGCGGCCTCGTCGCGAGCATGGGAAGGGGGGTTGATGCTAAACGCTGAGGCCAAATAAACCCTCTCTGCCCCACCAGAGGACAGGAGGCAACGTCACATCAAGGCACTGGCTAACAGGAACGTGTGGCTGTCACAGCCCTGTCCCCATGATGGAGGTGAGAGGCAGGATGAGCCGGCTGCTCCCGAGGCCACGGTGGGAGGACAGGGGCCAGCCCTGCCCCGTGCCCCAAACCAAGTCCCTCGCCGAGGATGGAGGCGGTGCCACATCACTTATGGCGTTTTTTCTTCTGTTCTTTGCGCTTCTGAGCCCTCACATCCTTCTTCAGGCGGCTGTCCACAACCTTGAACTGGCCCTTGACGCCGGGAGGACGGCGCACCCGGGGTCCTACACCTTTCTTAGCCACCAAGTAGGTGACCTGCCGCTTCTCCTTGGCCAGCCCAGCCTTCTTGTAGATGCTGCAGGAGAACGGCAAAAGGTGAGACCGAGACCCCAGCGTCGTGGCCCAGCTCCAGCAGTTTGGCTTTGGGACGTATCCAAAGGCCAATACTGGATCCCACCCCTCCTCTGGGCCTCTGTGCCCCAAGATGGGGCTCCCCTGCTTGCTCTGCCACCCCTCAGCCTACACCCGCATCCAGCCCAGCCGTCGCCAGCCCTGCCGGGTTATGCCCAGGAGCTGTCCCCAAGCTGTGGCTGGAGGGACAAAGCATCGCAAAACAGCCCAGCATGACACGAAGCATCTGGATCTCAGCTTCGCCACTCACCGCCGCAGCTGGGCCACCTTCTCCCTCTCCGAGATATCCACCGTGCTCACCACGGCCTCTGCTTTCTTCTTCATCTGCTCCATCTTCTTCAGCATCTGCGGGGACAGCGAGGGTGAGGGACAAGGGGGATGGGAGGAGAGATGGAGCACCTGGGAGGGGGAACAGAGCACCGGTGCAGGACCACAGCCCCACTCACCCGCCGCTTCTTGCGGGCCTTGGCCTCTGCGACCTTCTTGATGGGGCGGGCGTTGATTTCACGCCAGCGTTGCCGATACGCCTCAACCGTCTGCTTGTCCACAGGTATCTGCTTGCGCCGGTGCTGCTTCTCCTCCTCTGTGAACCACTCCGGCAGCTCTCCCTCATCCTCGTTGAAGGAATACCTGGGGACGGGGATGCGGGTGAGTTGTGAGCTGGACATGGGGTCCCCACACCAATACACGTGCCACCCCCATGGCCTGTCTCCTGTTGGGAGACCGAACGCTGCTCCCCTTCCAGCAACCACAACTGCAAGTACCTGTTGAAGGAGTCATCAATCAGGTCCCGCCTGGCCTTTTTGGAGGTGGCAATGACGGAGCCGAGTGCCAGGCCCTCTGCATCCAGGACACGGGCTTTTTTCACTGCAGCATACAGACAGATTAAAGCTTGGCTTATCTGCAAGCAGCCCGAGACCCAGGGAGCAGGAAGCAGCCCTGACAGCCCAGACTTGCACGATCTGGCCCTGCCTCCTGTCCCTAAAGAGGGACTCACATGGTATCACGGGGCACACATCGGTGCAGACATCACCCCCCAACTCACCTGGGTTCTCAATGGGCACCACCTCGAAGCCACACGGCTCGACACGGCCCCGCTTCCTCCCCACTGGTGTCAGCGGCCTGCGGAGAGAAGAGTGGTCAGGGCTGAGGTCCTCACCTGCCTGCTCTCCAGGACTGTGGAGCTGCGGGAAGACATCCAGATCGCCTCACCCCTCCTCATCGCTGCTGCTGTCATCATCGCTGCTCTGCTCATCCTGCGCTTTACCAGCATCGGGTCCTGCGTCTGCAGCAGGTGGGGACTCAGCTGGAGCTTCCTCCGGGGGTCCCTTCTTCTGCCCTTTCCTTGTTGCTTTGTCTGGGGAACAGGAACCACTGGGTGAGAAAGCGTCAAGGCAGACCCCACTGCAGATGATTCCTCTAGAGAGCCAGCTCATTAGCACTACGCTAATACCAGCTCATTAAATGTGTAATGACACAGGCTGGAAGCAACCTCTGGAGATCTCCGGTCCCGCTCAGAGCAGCACCCCCATTATGGTTTGATCCACTACCCCAGACTGGGCATGGGGCTGTCCCTCTGTGCCCCCCCAGCAACGCAACCCCCCACTAACCTTTCTGAGACTCGCGCTGTCTCTCAGCCAACATCTGCGACTGCCCCAGCTCCAGGTCCTCATCCGCATCGTCCTCGATGCCAGCAAAGGCATCCTGGGGACGGGGAGCAGCAGGTCAGGGGACACGGGGCAGACCCGGGCACAGGCTGCCCTGGCATTTCTGGCTCAGTGGGACTCACCTTCCCAAACCACAGGCTGGTCTGCCGTTCCTCCAGCACTGACTTCTCCTCCAGGGGCACCAGTAGGGGATTCTCCTCTTCCTCCCTTTCTTCCTCCTCTTCCTTCTGCTTAAACTTCACCCTGTGACAAACAGCAGCAGGATCAGTGTCCCCCAGCCAGGACGGGGTGTGCCCATTGCAGGACACTGGAGCTGCTCCAAAGGAAACCCCCACCCCAGGGAGGCCTCTCCTGGCTCTCACCTCTTGGCACCCTGCTCTCGTCTTTCCCGCTCCAGCCGGCGCTGACGGGCCTCTATCTCAAGCAGTTCTTCTGGGTCCAGATCGCTGGCCAGGGACACATCATCCTCTTCCTCTTTATCCGAGACATAAATGTCATCGTCCCCAGGTCCTATCTCCAGGAGGGCATCTGCCGATGCCATGTCCCCCCGGGTCACCTCGTTCAGCAGCTGTAACACAAGTGAGATGAGTCATAAGCTACAGCCCATCAGCCATGGGCCCACCACTGTTGTGATCCTGACGGCTCTGGGAGCCTGGCCTCCCCCTGCCCCACAAACCGGGGTCCTCTGGATAGTCCGGAGGGAGAACATGCTGGTGTCACCATCATCAGCGATGGAGACACCAGGGAGGTCCATCTTCAGCTCCACACGCTCACGCTGCTTCCGCTGTTCCTTCAGGATCTTCTTCTTCTTTCTGGAGAAGGACGCAAAGGAATGAGGCCACACTGCCTCCCTCCCCACACACACACATCCCAGTGGCTCATCCAGTGCCACATCGGTGCCAGATCTCCCTCAGCAGCACTGTCATTGCCCTGTGAGGGGTCACCAACTCTGGCACAAAGGGGGCTTGGAACAGCCACTTCACCTGCTTTGAGGAACAGACAACCCCAAGGACCCCACTGACACAGTCACTCTCTGTCCCCACGGCTGGAGTCCCCCTGTGCTCTGCTGGCCCAGTGCTCCCCCATCTCTCCTCATGTGAGATCTCTTTACCTCTTTAACTCTGCTAGCTCCTTGGCCTTCATCTCCGCCAACGCCAGCTCTACCTCCTCTTCCTCTTTCACCACCTCATCAGGTGCAGCGCTTGGCAACGTCTTTTTCTCCTTCTTCTCCTCCTCTTTGCCTTCCTCCTCTTCACCGGAGCTCAGGCTACCAAAAGGAAGGAGCTCAGACCACCTCTCCCAGTGGCAGACCCATCCCACCACATTGGTGCTCTAGGGCAGCCCTGTTTCTCCTACTTGATATCCAGCTCCTTTGCCTGCTCTTTCAGCTTTTTGGCCAAGAAACGCCGCAACTTCGTCCTCCAGTTCAGCAGAGCTCTGTGCGGGAAGGCAGACTGTTAGAGACACCCACTGGGCTCAGCATAACACCCTGTACCAGTCCCACCCAGTACCTGAGCTCTTTGCGTCCCAGCACACGGATGTCCTTGCAGCACTGACGCAGCTCTTCCGTAGTGGAACTGTGGTTCTCCAGCTCACCGTCCCCCAGTGTAATCTGGATAGAGGAGAGATAAATTAATTAAGCATCTATGCTAAGTCCCTTTCTTTGGTAAGAATATCAACTTATAAAATAAAAGGGAATGACTGGCTAAACTCCAGGCAAGTTCCTGCCCTGCTTCCCCTCCGCAAGAACAGGAATGGGGCCATTGCTGGCCCACCTGGCTCCCTCTTTTCATTGCTCTGTGCTCCTGGGGACATCTCAAGGGCCACCAAGATCCCCCTCACTTCAGGCACTCACCTCGTTGGCCTTGGAGAGGAAGTCCACGGGGTTGGCAGCCTTGAGGAAGTCCATCAGGGTGAAGCGATGGTAGAGAGTTGTGTCGCCATCTGCATACCCTTCTGCCTACAGGAAGAAGGAGCTGCATGAACTGTAGCAGGGCACAAGAGCAGCTTCAACCAGCCCTAAGGGATGAAGGACATCACGTAACTTGTGTCCTGCTGCCACATCCACCTAAACACGCCCACACAACTTAGGGATGAGGGCAAGTTACCAGCCCCAAGCTGCCAGCTCCACAGTGTCTCCCAGTCCCACCTCAGACTCGGAAAGGTGACAGTGATAGAGGTTTGTATTAGCTCCATGCCCAGCTGAGGCCACTTGACACAGCCTTTACTGTTCCGTGCCCTAAAGACATCTCACGGAGACACAAACCTAGTTGCCAACCATTGCAGAGAGGGTTTCACTGATACCCCCCCCCTCCAGCCTCACAACTTGTATCACCATTTCCCCATTGCTGTACTGCCTTCTAAGGCTGTAAACCTCCCCAAAACTGGCTCTCCCACCACTTTGCAGCCCCATATCTCTCATTTTCCTGAGGAACTTTGCTTATTACAATGTCTTTGCCCCCAGTCCCCAGCCCCTTTAGGGTGTATTTGGCCTTGCTGCCTGGCGAAGCAAGCTCATACCTTTGGCTTCTTTTTGCTGACCAGCTCGCTAACAGACTTAGTCTGAACCTCCACCTCCTTGAAAGCGTATTTTGGGTCAAAGAACTTGCTGTCGATTTTGTCTGGAGCCTGATAACCTGGGATGGAGGAATCAGAGCTATGAGCAGGTTGTTTCCAGCCCCATCCCAGCAGCCACAGGTCCCCGCGGCCACTCACCCTGGCACACCACAAAGATCTCAGCAGACTCGTTGCGGGAAGCTTGGGGCTTGGTGGCCTGCACCTTCTGGAAGAACTGCTGGAAGATCCAGAGAAGCGGCTGGTAGTCCCGAGAACGAAAAACCTTGGTGATGAACCAGCCGCCTTTGCAGAGGAATTCGCAGGCCAGTTTCAGGGCCATGAGGGTCAGGTTGGCTGGAGGAGGGGAGAAAAGCAGTCAGCAGTTGTCAATGTCCCCACCACCCAGCTCCCCGTCCCACAGTGCACACCACTGCCACCCTACACCTGCTGGGGCATGACATGCGCCTGCCCTCATACCCCCCCAGACCATGCCAGGTCCAGCCCCGGGCGGGCCCCACCTTGGGAGTAGGCATCATGCACCCAGCTGGCTCCCACGTTGGGTGCTCCATCATTCAGCACCACATCCACCTTCCACGTCTGCAGCTCCTTGCGCAGGGCCTGAGAAATAGAGGCAGCCGTTAGTCCTACTAACCCCACCACAAGAACCAACAGGCGGCACCCCCACACCCATCAGCTTAGCTCAGCCCCCCCCGCCACGGTCCTACCAGACTGGCGTGTGATGCTCAGAGCAGGGGAGACAGGTTCATACCTGGCGGCACTTCTCAGTGGTGATGTCCTCCTGCAACGTCACCACGTTGGGAATGGGTTTGATGGGGACCAAGTCCACTCCTGGCACAATAAGGAGATATAAACGCTACAACCCCTCAAAACCAGCCAGCTGCCCATCCCAGGTGGCTTCCCCACCTGCCCACTCCTCCCACCAGGATCCTCACTCCAGCACCCCCTTTCTTTGACCACATCCAAGGACTGCAGTGGAGATCCCTACCCCTGGGTCCCATCACTCACCAATGATCAAGCTGGAAACCGGCATGAATTTGGAAGCCACCTGTAACCTGGAAAGAACAGAGAGGAACAAAGCTACAGCAGGATCCCAGCAGAGGCACCAGCCTTGAACTGTGCAGCCGGGGGTTTGAGATCAGCTTTGGCACGAAGGACAGAGGCTGAGATGAGCCACTGCAACAGGCAACATAAAAGCCACTTCGCAATGAGGTTCCAGAGCAGCTAGTAGCACTGCGCTGTGACTTGGGTCTCTGACACCACTCACCACCCGCCAGGGGCCGCACACAGGTCCAGCAGTGCCCGGGCCTTCTGCAGGAACTGGAACTTTCTATTGAGCTGGAGAAGCTTGAAGGAGGAGCGGGAGCGAAAGCCTGTCGAGGGAGAGCTGCAGGTTAGGGATTACCAGGGGTCAGGAGTTCCCAGGGCTGCAGCCCCCCCTGCCCCGCAGCGCCTGGGCAGGCCCCTCACCCGTCTCCTT